GTACAGTTCACCAGGCCTGTAGGTGGCTGGCTGTGGATTTTGCCACGTTTCGGAGCAGTTCTCTGAGGGTCGGTCTTGGGTTCAGTGTGCATGGGCTTGTATCCTAAAACCTGTGGAGCTGACATCTTTCTGTAGAGACTGGGGGGAGGGGGGTGGATAGCGTGAGATCTGCGGAAACAGTGTTCCCTCTCTTTTGGTGGCGGCCAACTCTGGGAAAAAAAAACATTTTAAAAACTAAAGTTTCCCAGCCGGAGATGTGCAGAGAAATCATAACCAAGAAGCCGAGGCTCCATGTTTGTTTGTTTTTAGATCAGAAGTTTGGTTACAAAGGGAGATGATTCCATTTGTGGTAACAATCTAATTTTTCCATTCTACCAGCACACCAGCACCATAAGCTGAAGCAGAATGAGGTCGAATTAGGGCAAGCATAGCCCACTACCCCGAATACTACTGGATGAAAAACGATAACCTTGTAACCTCACATTTATTTAGAGAACTAGCTGTGCAATGTGACTCCAGTACAAAAGCAAGGAGCAGGAAGCGGCCTCTAGGTATTTGGTGTAATTGCGATTGATTTGTTTTCTAAATCTGAATCCAGAATCTGTCTGGCTTTGGAAGGTCAGGGTCGTTTATTTGAAACCTTCTCTAGCCCTTGAACATCGCAGCGCAGAGGTCCTTATGCAGGCATAGTGTGGAAGGCAGAGGCAGATAAGAGACAATTCTTGGTGATGATGGAATTGGAGAGATTTCTCAAGATTGACACAAATATTTTCAGGACAACCAGGGTGATTTTCTTATCTGTATTTTAAAGATGCCATAGTTTTAAGCAGATGAATCAGTTTCCTGGATTACATTTGCTCTATCCTTAGTGACCAAAAAATGACACAAGTGATTTTCATTCTTGTCATAATGAATTTGCATCAACCTGCCCTCACTAGTTTCCCTGGATTAGGACTGCAAGGCTGATGTTGGCCAGGGAGAACATTTTACAAGTCTGCTTCACCATAGGCACAACTTAGGCAACCTGGAGATCACCTTTGTTCTGCAGATGGGGGGTGGTGCAGTGAGGGATGGTTTAGGGTCTCTTGATTTGCTTTGGGTGGTTCCAGTTTTCTGTGGCTGGCCTTACCACATTGTATACTGAAAAACATAATTGTATGGTAAATTCTGAAGCAGCCCAAGCACTTGAGACTTTGTTATCATGATAAATGGGTTTCTGGGAAAACTGACGTCACTCTCCATGCTTCCCTCCCCCAAACCAGTGAAGCTCTTATTTATGTGTCATTTGTCTCTCTGCTTTCCTTTGTGTCTGCAAGAAGTTGTAATTCACCAGGGGAGGCTCAAATTAACTCAAGAGACTTGGAGTGGCTGGTTACTTCTGGTTTCTTCAAAAGAGTAAGTGACTAGGGCTTGGGAAGAGAAGACTAGAGAGTCAGGCTATGTGTGGCAAGCTTAGAAGTTCTTACTAAACTCTGAGGCATGATGCCATGTGAGTAGTGTGGTGGTGTGTATGTTCGGGTATCTTCACAGAGTCACTGGAGGGTCACTGTTGCCAAATGTTGTTAGTAGTGAAATGGCGTGGGAGTTGTTGTGTAGGGCTTCCATTTGGGTGTGTATGCATCTTGAAAGTTCATAATCCAGTTGCATCTTACCCGAGTAAACACCCACAAAGGATTCTGTATAACAGCACTATTTCTCCACCATTGCTGTTAATATTTGCTCGACTATGTGACTAACACTATGGCCAGCTCTTATCAACCATACGCACCCCCAAAGTAGCAGATACAGCTCATGAGGAGTTGTATGACTGACTCATCCAGGATGACCTAGGAAGGCACAGCACAGTCACCAAAAATCTCTATCTACTGTCGCTTACAGCTACCTTTCATTCAGTATTGCCTTTTCAGTTCAGACTGTAAGTACTGTGCTGCCAAAGCACAGGGCGGTTGAGTCTGGCTTGAACAAATCCCATCCACAATGTGAACATCATTGCTTTTTCCAGTTACATTCCATTAAGCCATTGTGCCTAATGAAAGACCTTGCAAGGACTACAAGAGCTGCTTTGCCAGGATTGGTCTGGAGGAACCATCCTCAAGTTAGCACCTGCCATTGAGGAGAACACTGCTTCTGCATTCTGGCCTTATCATTAGTAACCATTATCCACTCATCTTTTGTTTGTCTGACTGACTGTTTTGAGACATACTTTCATCTGTTAACCAAAGTTAGTCCTGTCTTTGGTGCTCTGGTTACCTCATGGTTTTCCTCTAGGCACTCCTCTTTAAACCTTAATCACTAACTGTAGTAATTGCACTAAAAAAAAAAAAAAAAGGAAAACCAAACCCCATAGACCTACCTGAGCTATAATGCTGATAAATTGTTGATACCAAGTCAAGGGGATAGGTCTAATCATAATATAGTTTTCCAACTTCTTTGTGCCTTTAAGATTTGTCAAAAACACACAGGGGCATGGGGGCGTGGAGCGGTGCCTTGGTCCTGTCTCAACGAGATGATAGGACAGACTTAGAAGACTTCCTGGGGAGGCCTTACTCTCTCCGAGGAGCAGATGGGAGTGGGGAGCGGTGAAGAGAAGAGAGGGGGAACTGGGATTGAAATGTAAAAAATAAATTAATAACAAAAATTGAAAAAGGATTTGTCAAAAACATTAGAGTAGTGGCACACACCTTTGATCCCAGATCTCATGAGGCAGAGGCAGGAGAATCTCTGTGAGTTCAAGACCAACGTGGTCTACAGAGTAAGTTCCAGGACAAGCTCCAAAGCTACAGAGAAACTCTGTCTCGAAACCCTACCCCCCCCCAAAAAAAAACACATTAGAGGAGCTGGGTGTGGTGGCTCATGCCTCTAATCCCAGCACTCAGGAGGCAGAGGCAAGTGGATCTCTGTGAGTTCCA